CAGCTGTAGGTGGACTTTTCTTTAAAATCTGATGAGCACTCTCTACAGGTGAGGTGAAGTTCAACTCCGTGGAGCCATACACCAAGAGTCGCCTTAGCGCGCTGCCATTTGCCGACATCATCCGTGACTACAAGGTGATCGCCGATGGGATTGTGCCGGAAAACCCACTGAAGTTCCTGTACCCAGACATCCCCAAGGACGAAGCCTTTGGGAAGCATTACAACAGCCAGCAGAGCAAAGGTTTTCTAACGATCTGGGGCGGCCGTAGCCATGGGAAGAAGCTTTGGGACCTTTCCCTGAGTTTGAGCCACCAGCTAAAGCACAAATGCCCCACACAGACATTTGGGTAGTGTGGCAGTCAATTCGGTCAATCCATCCATTTTATCCCGGGCAGGGTGGTGGGGGGTGGGGCCTGGAGCTGCGAAAGGGATAATGTAAACAAATATTTCTAGTAATATAGCCTTGCGTGGACTTTGGCCCAGGACCACCAGACGTAATTCAATTTGGGCATATCTTGAAATCGTAGCTGTCCATGCATACTGTATTACAAGTTAGATATGGACAGTGGGTTATTATCCCGCTGGCAGCAATACCCATTCTCCTGCACCTGTTACATTATTTGCTATGGACCTCGGATGTGAATGTGATAGGGCGTGACTCAATCAGGTGTGATATAAGAGGTTAGTAGCAGTAATAATATAATTGTAATGGCAGGAATATAAGACCACATTCTCAGTTTTATGGCATTTTATAATATGATTTTACGGTATTTTTTGTTTCTTTTAATCAGCTTTTCCATACATCCCTTCTGTCCTGATTCCCATATCCTTGGTGTAAGTATTCCTTGACGGTTGTAATTTTTTTTTTGTTTTGGTGGGGGACAGGGGAGAGGGGTGCTGCTGAGTACTTTTGGTTAACTTTCTTTTTTGGTCAGCTTTGATCAGCCTTATTTATGGCCTTGTAGCAACAAATTAAGTAATAATGCCACATTATGTAATAAATTGACAGAATGTAACAAACAATGATAACGATGATGATGATAAGACTAATAGAGTAATGTTGCAATATAAAATTATAATATTAAAATAATGTTGCAATATAAAATTATAATATTAATCTATAAATTTGGAACATTTCGTCAAGTTATTACAAAATATAGCATTATTACATAATGCGTTGTAACAGGTCTGCTTGTGTCCCATATTGCTAGCAAAGTAACTTTGGTCACGCTAGGTCACAGCTTGTGGTCAGACGCCTCTGATGGTGCCTTGAACTCAGTTGACAGCATTCGCTGTGTGTTTGCGGTAAACCTTGCAGCTCCAGTGTGACACCACCCTCCTCCGCGTCCCCGGAACCACCCATGAGCCCCGGCATGTTCGACATGCTGAACCAGCAGCTGGACCCCTTCGAGATCGAGACCGCTGTGAGTCTCTTGGCTCTTTGAAGACTCTGCAGGACAGCATCGCTGCCACTGCCACCTTCAACTTGTTCTTAAACTCTTAAGTCTTCCTGATAAGTGTCCTCAGTGCTGTTTTTGATGTGCTTTCGTGGGAGGAGGTGTTTATATCCTGATACATTCTAGGTATTGTCTGTCTTTGTATTACAGATGAGTTCACCATATTCAGAGTAAGGAGAATAATGGACCAGTGACATCATCGGATATATCGGCCTGTCATCTGTTCTGCCAGAACCATCAGCAGCATTTTCACTATTCTGTTATGTACTGTACAGATAATGCACTATTGCCTTCTGAAAATTTGGAATTTGTGCTTTAAGTTTAGATGCAGTCAGAAGACATGCGTTTTTAATGTATATGTGATCATGTTTTGTTTCTAGACTCATGCTTTTATTTTTCCTTTTACAATTTTAGAGCTTGTAAAAAGCATTTACTGGGTATTTTGCACTAGATTCTTGCTATAAAAAAATTGTGCAGAGTCAAAGTCTGCCATAACATTTCTGAATGTGTTTCATATGACCCTAATGAGATGACTTTTCAGCCAAACCCAGTATTTAAACACTTTTCAAGCAAATTATAATCAAATATTACATTTATGTAAATATTTCTAAGCTCAGAATATAAATACTGCAAATTCTCTAGTTGACTTCCTGTGCTTGTATGACTTTGGAGTTGTGAACAGTGCTTTATTTGTCTGTGATCTCCTCACAAAATGTTGTATATCTGACAAATTCTTCCTTAGTAAATAAGATTAATAAATGACTCAAATATCAGGATTAAAAGTTTCAGATTAGCATCCAGTATCATCTTGTGCCTGGTTGTGATGGAGATAGCAACCAGTGCTCTCCTAGTATTCCAAGCCATCTAGCAGATTTTCACCTCCAGCACAGCTGATTCAAATGATCATGAGTATTGACAGTTGATTAGTATGATGTTTGAAATAGAGATGGGGGTTACAAAAATGGTCTTCAGAACCCCTACAGAGTGTGCAGTTGTCAAAAAGTCAGAGAAACACTGGTGTTACACTATATCGACAAAAGTACTGGAATACCTGGCCATTACACCTACAGGAAATTTTAGGACATCCCATTCTAAATCAACTGGCATCAATATGGTTGGTCCCCTCTTTGCAGATATAACAGCTGTCACTCTTCTGGGAAGACTTTCCACAAGATTTTGGAGTGTGCCTGTGGTTAATTTGCCCATTCATCCAGAAGGTCTGGCACTTATGTTGGATGTGAAGGCCTGGCTCACCATCTCCATTCTAGTTCATCCCAAATGTGTTCAATGGGGTTGAAGTCAGGGCTCTGTGTGGGCTAGTCTAGTTCTTCCTCACCAAACTCATCCACCCATGTCTTTATGGACCTTGCTTTGGCCACAGTAATGCTGGAGCAGAAAAGGGCCATCCCCACACTGTTCCTACGAAGTTGGAAGCATAGAATTGCCCAAAATGTCTTGGTATGCTGAAGCATTAAGATTTCCCTTCACTGGAACTAAGGGGCCTAGCCCAACCCCTACGTAATAGACAACCACATATTATTATCCCATTTCTTGAAGCTTCTGGCTCACAGTTTTTATGCTGGAGTTAATGCCAGAGGAAGTTTGGAACTCTGTAGTTACTGAATCAACAGAGCGTTGGCGACATTTATGCAGTATGCACCTCAGCACTTGGCAACCTTGTTCTGTTACTTTACTTGGTCTGCCACTTTGTGGCTGAGTGTCTTTTGTTCCTAAACATTTTCACTTTGTAATAATACCACTTACAATTGACTGGAATATCTAGCAGGGAAGAAATTTCACGAATTGACTTATTGTAAAGGTGGCATCCTGTCACAGTACCATGTTTGAATTCACTGAGCTTCTCAAAGTGACCCATTCTTACAATAATGTTGGTAAACCAGACTACATGGCTAAGTGCTTGATTTTATCCAGCTGTGGCAATACTTTTGCCTATATAGTGTATATTTACAATTTAGAATTTGCTGTACCCAGTGTCTGTCTGTGCCCTGTTTGCTGGAAAAGGGAGTAAATGCCCCCTAATCTGGTCTAGTTTAGCATTTTACAAGTGCAACAGTACCAGATGGGAACTCGAGTTTAAGACTCTAACTATGCGACTCAACCTAACTTTAATCTATATTAGAAAAGTGCTTAGGGTCTTACAAAAATGTTATTGCTTCAAAAGCATTTGAAATAGCAATTACTTTAAAAATGTATATTAAACCATAAGGATCTATGAGACATGCAGTTTTTGAACTGTTCAAGTGGTGATTCCGATTTAGTCGCATCAGTTACTAATAGAAAAAAAACAAATATCCAGTTAAGTTTTTGATAAACAGTAATGTCAAATTGGAGCCATGACAGAAACTTGAGACTTGGCTCGGACTCTAATTTTGTGACTCGTGAACATCTCTGAACAATACTAATCCATTTACTGGACTTTGACCAGCTTTGACATTTACAGTTACTGTGGGTGAAGAGAACAGACTTTATCTGCATTCGATCAAGATTTTTAGGTGGGGGTGAGCAATGTAGCCTTGCAGTGGCTGGCATCATTCACGCTCTAAACTCTGTGATGACTCAGTTATCTCGGTCACCTCATTTATTGGAAACTCCCACACCAACAGAATATTAATATCTGACTTCAAACAACCCTGAAATGGTCCCCAGGAGAGAATGTGAAGAGAGACACATCTCCCCATCCCATTGTGTACATGACCAGAAAGTCAATCTGAAAATGGGTTGCAAATGTGTTGTGAAGCAACTCACCACTCTTAGCCTAAATTACCTTCTACGATTATAAACACCCTCAATCATATGTATTTGTAACAGCTGAAAAACTAACACACCGACACACTGAAATGTAAACTTTAAAAATAGTTTAAATTTGTGTTCAAACAGCAATGAGTACAACACCTTGTACATGCGGGAAGAGAAAAAAATCATCCCGAAACATGTTGTCCTTGTTTGTTATATATATATCGGCTGTTTCAATATGGATGTGTGGTTGGATGAATGGCATATTTAAATTCAAATCAAATGGGAGGAACTTCTAAAATTAAACCCCAAAGCAAATGAAAGAGTAGAAATTTGGGTCAGGCGTTTCGATTGTTTTTTCACTTGCTGTCATTCGGGTGTTTCTATTTCCAGGAAATCTCATGGTTTCAGCAGCATCTAGCAGCGCTTGTTTCGCCCCCGTCCATTTCTTATTCCTACAAGTCATAGTTCTACTTCCTTCTTGAGATTTTTATAGAAAGATCATCAAGTCAGAACTTCTCGTAACGTAGTATTACACTCATTCGTATGTGTCGGTTAAGAACATTCATAAATGTTACATACGCGCAAGAGTCGACAAACAAAAAGCGTATACAGAACCCTCTTCCGGGAGAAAACTTAACTACGTTATTTGATTTACGGTGCCTGCGCCTATATTGCTTTGACTCACGGGAGATGCAAAACATTCACCAATCAGAAAAGAGGGTGGACACGACTCTCTCTCCCCAGATTAGTTCTGTGACGCAAGCGTTGAGTCTCAATTGGACGACATACGTGTCGATCTTTGGAAGTTGGACACGCACGTGTAACGCTGACTGCGGCCCGATAAGATAGGAAATGATGTAAACAAGCCCGAGAGCTCCGGCGGTCTGGGAAAACGAAGTGCTTCTTATTTTTTTTATACTATATATTTCTTTTTATTGTTGTGCGGTTATCGTTTGCTTATTCCCGTTCAATCTTCACGGAAAGGTAAGCGAACCAGATCTTCCTACGGTTAGTTAGTAGTGGCTTCCTGTAGTGTAACTCGGAGGTCCGGTCTTGCCAGTATATATACGGTACATGCACACAGAGCCCTTGTGAGAGCTGCGCTTTGTCTTGATTTTTTTTTTTACAATGACATGAGTTCAACAGGCACCAGGGTTACCTAACCCAATACGGCGTTGAACTAGTTAATAGTTGGACTGCAGAAACGCAGTGGACACATCTGACATATGCACACGTGCGTGGTGATTTGCTGACTGTGGCACCCTCCATTACAGTAAAAGCCAGCATAGACATCTAAACAGTCGTTCGATTGGAGTTCTTTAACCCGTTGCCCTCTCATCTGATTACACCTTCGTGGATTCATAGCTGAGTGCAGGATGTATACCAGCACCTAGGATGACGCCTGGAGTTTGGGCGCTTAGGGAATCACTTCGCGATGCACCGGTATCGTTGGTTGTTTTGCTGTATGCCTGGGAATTGTGTTAAATGCTTATTGACCATCATTATTTAGGCTAGGCTACCTCCTGTCGATGTGTGGTGGAAGTCTGTTGTAGATGGTGAATACCCTTACTACCGATAACATCACTGACGTCGAGTAAAAGAAACAAACTTCTTTTTGTGGAGAACTCAAATGCGCAAAGGTGTACTGATAACTCTCTTCATTTAAAGTGCCTCATTTTCAGATACAGTGTAGTCTGTGTGGCTTTCCTAACACTACCAGGCTGGACTTCAGATTATTATAAGTTTGGCTTAGCACACCACAAACTATTGATTAAGAAGGCAGCGCTTGGTTAAATGCAATCTGCCTGTTGCTTAGGTGGTGCACAAGCATTGAGGGTGTGGACGATGCTATGATGATGGCCCCTATCTTTTCTGAAAATCTTCTCATCTGTTTGTGGGCCTTTTGTCTGTCCTGCTGTCTCCACAGGAGAATGGCCCAGTGGTACCAGCTACAACAGCTGGACTCCAAGTACCTGGAGCAGCTGGACCAGCTGTATGATGACACCTTTCCAATGGAGATTCGCCAGTATCTCAGCCAGTGGATCGAAAGTCATGACTGGTGAACATTGGATAAAGCTGGTCGTTTAGATTGGCTTATATTAAACCTGGGTCCCAACTATAAGGCTCACTTGTGTTTGATGTGTTTTTAGGGTCTGATAACCATATCCATGTTAGTTACAAGTATGTATTTGGGACCATATGTCTTGAGTGTTTATGTATGGTAAAGCTTCTTGACATCTGTATCACAAAGCTGGTTCAGGGAAGTCAGGATTTGAAAATAAGTTCTAGCTTGATTAAACCAAACAAATTTAATCTGAGAGAAACTATCATGGCACTGAGACCAAGTGCATATCAACAGTGCATGGCATATCAAGGAAACTGTGGTTTAAGCAATTGACTATGCGGGACAATATACACTGCTTTATCAGATTATGTATTTCTGTGCATTTTTACCAAGAAATTTGCAGCGTCTGTTCACCACCAGTGGCTGTAAGAGCAACAGCTATTGAAGATAAAGTGCGCATGTGAAAATTTAAATGTTAATTAAAATTTGCCCTTACCTCTTTTCATAGCTAATAACTAGTACGTAGTAATAACTAGTTTCATAGCACGTAGTGAAAGGGCTCGAAACGCAAAAATTATCAATTATCTCTGCCTGTGCAGTTATCTCAGGCCAGTGCATAAAAACGGACTGGCTGTTTGCTTGTTGAAAAATAATGGTTGCTCGCCCCTGCAGGGCGCTGGTGGCCTCTGACATCTCCCTGGCGACAGTGCGCTTCCACGACCTTTTGGCCCAGCTGGATGACCAGTACAGTCGCTTTGCCCTGGAGAACAACTTCCTGTTGCAGCACAACATCCGCAAGATCAAGAGGAACCTCCAGGTCCGTGGAGCCGGGCGAGGTGTGGCCTGTGGAGGTGCCGTTCTGACCTCGTGGGTCGGCTGTCTTTGTCCTAAAGCCGGGTGCTCTTCATTGTACTTCTGAATTCTTCATATTATACAATAATAATTCTCTGTCCGCTAAATTGAAATATGTAACCCTGATACAGTCTATGCTTTACATGTATGGCTGATCATTGCACATTGCATGCTTTTATATGCACCCACACTGGAAGTAATCAAGGTTTTGGCTTGACATAGGTTGTCGATAGTCAATGTCATGATACCGTTTAATGTGCTTCACTTGCCTGTGTACGTCTTGGCTGTTCCTGCATCTAGAAACTGCAGGTTTCAGCCATTTTAGCAATGGATAATAATGTTTGAACTTACCTGATCTCATATTGCATGCGGTAAAACCCACAATGAGGCAGAGAAGATGCTGAAACAATGCCCAGGGGGCTGTCCTTTGAAGTTAGACTTAGTGGATTTGAATTTCAGTTGCAGTCTTTGAGGTCTCTAGCTATGATAACACCTCCAGATCTAGGAAAGTGTCTTTTTTGTTGCTGTAGTAACAGTGTCATGCTATACTTGTTGGCATTAGGTAGGTGAGTCAGTGCTGGATGTTCTGCTCTTTGTGTGACAAATATATGCCATGCAGTAATGTGATTCTGTTTCTGCAGGATAATTTTCAGGAAGATCCTGTGTACATGGCTATGATCATCTGCAGATACCTGAAGGAGGAGCAGAAGATTCTGGAATTAGCAAAGAACACAGAGGTGTGGGAAGAGGGCCACTCAGTTGCCATTAGTGGTGTTATTTTTATGGTTAGTCCTAGATGGCTAAGCCAGATAACATGAGTATATCATCAGAGTGACACCCTGTACCTGGCTTTCAGGAGAGCATGGGCAATGAACAGAGCAGCCTGGCTGCCGAGAAGCAGAAAGAGCTGGATAATAAAGTTAAATACCTCAGGAGTAAAGTACAGGTGAGAATTGGAGCCCAGGTCCTAAAGTCAGAGCCTTTGGAAATGGTCCTTTAATGACTATTAAGATGAGTCAAGCTGATGTGGATGTCTCCTGTGGATGGAGAAAGATACTCTGCTTACTGCCTCCCATCCAGGAAACGGAGCAGAAAATAAAATCACTCGAGGACCTGCAAGATGATCACGACTTCAAGCACAAAACCCTGCAGAGCAGAGGTGAGCATATCAGCCCAGCCCCACATGACACGGCTGAACAAATGCGTATAAGTGTAACAATTAGAGATTAAGTTAAGTAGTACATGCCATTCTAAGGTAAACAGGTTATAAACATGTATGCTTCATGTCCTGTGGCATTTCTGGAAGCAATTTGTAAATGATGTTTGGTCAGAAAAACTAGACCTTTCCTGATATAATTATATGTATGTATCTGAAAGCCTGCAGTTTATTCATCCTAGGACTGAACTTTGAAACAAACTTACGCACTAATTTTATTACCATATTCTATCACTTGAGCCCCCCTGTGTTTTATTGTGTTATTCTTCCCAGAGCATGACATGGTAAACATGGTGAACCAGAGCGAGATCAGACGTGAGGAGATGGCCATACGGGAGATGTTCCTCAAACTGAGCATAAAGCGAGAGGTAGGAGCCCATCGTCATGGTAAGATTAAGGACAGCCTCATTTGTCAGGCTAGTGTGATGTTTAACAAGGCTGATGTCCATTAACATCTGTACTCTGGTAGGAGGTAGTGCGGCAGATGGCGGAGACACTCAACCTGGTGGAACAGGTGGAGTATCAGTTGATCAAAGACGAGCTTCCTGACTGGAAGCGGCGGCAGCAGATTGCGTGCATCGGGGGCCCCCCCAACACATGCTTGGATCAGTTGCAGTCATGGTGAGCTTCCTGTAAGGTTGTGCTTCTCGGACAGTATTTCTGTGTTTTCAAGTATACTCCCTGGCCAAAAGTATGGGGACATCCCTTATTGTGGTCATCTGTTTCAGGAACACCCATTGCTAATGGGTGCATAAAATGAAGCACACAGTCATTCAGTCTCCATAGACAAACACTGATAGTAGAATGGGTCATACTGAAGAGCTCAGTGACTATGATCATGGCACCATCATAGGACGCAAGAAATCAGTTGCCCTGTTAGACCCTTCCCCTCATACTTTCATTATCGTAAAGTGGAAGCATCTAGGACCATCCACAGCTCAGCCATGAAGAGGTCGGCCACACAAGCTGATAACTGGACCTCAGAGTGCATGTGGTACATAAAAATCGCCTTTCCTCAGTTGAGATATTAGCTGAGGAGTTTCACATTGCTTCAGGAACCACCATCAGCAAGAGAACTCTCCATCTGGACCTTTGTGGGAGTTTTCATTGTTGAGTTGCCTTGCACAGCATTAAGCGTCTATTCAGCTGGTATGAAGCACATTGCCGTGGAACAGTGGAAATACATTCTTGGGAGTGATGAAGCAAACCTCACTGTCTGGCAGTCTGTTGGATGAATTCAGATATGGTGGATTGGAGAACCTGCCTGTTTGAGTGCATAGTGGCAAATTAAATATTTGGTGGAGGGGGGCATAATGGTTTGGGTGTTTTTCATGGTTTGGTTTATGCCCCTTAGCTCCATTGAAGGATAATCATAATTCATCAGCATACAAAGACATTTTTGACAGTTGTTACTTCAACTTTGTGACGACAGTTTGGGGAAGGCCCTTTCTTATTCCAGCATGACTGTGCCTTTGTGCCTACACACTGCCCTGACTGCAATCCCACTAAAAACGTTTGGGATGAAATGAAATGCCGACTGTGAGCCAGGCCTTCTCGTCTGACATCAGTGCCCAACCTCACTAATGGTCTTGCAGCTGAATGGGCTGAAATTCCCACAACCACTCTTTTTAGTGGAAAGCCTTCTCAGAAGAGTGGAGTTGTTTGTTTATTCAGCAAGCACATATAGGTGTGATGTTAAGCTGTCCACATAATTTTGACCAGGGAATAAATCTTCTCAACCAGCCTTTGCAGTGCCTTTGTGGATTCCCCCTCCATCAAACAAGCACCCTTTGAAGTTGATTAGATTGTGGTTCACCTAGTCCTGGGGGAGGCCTTCGATATCCAGGTTCTTGTGTCCCCTCACTATTACTGGAGGGGAACTGACCAGAAATGAAACTGGCCAAAGAACTGGCCAGAAGTGAAAGACTGGCATGGCTGGTTTTGCTTTGAAAAGCATTGTGAAGCCACTTAGGGATACCACGTGTCTCCTGCAGGTTCACTGCCGTGGCCGAATGTCTGCAGCAGGTTCGGCAGCAGCTGAAGAAGCTTCAGGAGCTGGAGCAGAAGTACACATATGAAAATGACCCCATCACGCTGAAGAAGACCTTTCTGGAGGACCGTTGCATCTTGCTGTTCAAGAACCTCATTGTCAAGTGAGCTGTGCCCTTCTCTAACATGTGACAGTAACACCTAGCATGGTTTTTCAAGTGCCATGAAGGGGGTGCTGTGTAGCCTAGCAGTTAAGGAACTAGAGGGATCAGAAGAATGCTTAGCTTTGGGTGGAACCGTCTGTATAAGAATGAAGAACATTTTTCATTTCAGCTCCTTGGTGGTGGAGCGACAGCCCTGTATGCCGACAAACCCTCAGAGGCCACTGGTGGTGAAGACAGGGGTTCAGTTCACCGTTAAACTCAGGTAGGACCTTCTTCTTCATAAAGTTGACATCACAGAACCTTGTCTGGGTATTCTGGTGGACACTGTATTTGTTTCCTGTTACTACTGCACAGGCTGCTGGTGAAGCTCCCAGAGTTTAATTACCAGCTCAGCGTGAAGGCTTTGTTTGACAAGTGAGTGAGTCTGAATCACTAGGCTATGATCTAGAGGACAGTAAGAACACTTTGCCACTATGATCCCAAAACGTCCGGTCCCTTTGCATTTCAGGGATGTCACGGAGAAGAACACTGTCAAAGGGTAAGTCAACGTTTTCTGGCATCTTCTCTGAATGGATATGGTCAAGGCCACGCCTGCCGTAATTGTGATGTTTTCTTTGCCAGTTTCCGCAAGTTTAACCTTCTGGGCACAAACACAAAAGTCATGAATATGGAAGAGTCCAATGGGAGCCTTTCTGCAGAGTTCCGGCATCTGGTACGAGCACTTGGAGAAGAGCTTTGTGTAATTAGGGTCTAGCTCACACATCAGGAGCTGTGTAGACAACTTGAGGGCTTCTTCCTGGATGAATGTTGTTCCCGGTTAGTTTGTCATCCAGTGATTTTTGACTTTGTTGACTTCTGACTTTACTCTACAGCAATTGAGGGAAGCAAAGGCAGCAGGTTCCAGGTCAAGTGAGGTAAGGAAGCTGACTGAGCTCTGCCAACAGCAGCCAACTCCCAGTTGTTTGGTGTTGAACTGTGATGATGGAGCAATGTTGTGTACCTTCTAGCTCAGCTACTTGTGCTAGCCACGCTGCCTGTCTTTAGCCCTGGCTGTCCTAGCCACACTGCCTGTCTTTAGCTGTGAGCTGTGCTAGCCACGCTGCCTGTCTTTTGCCATAATTGCTGACCATGTTTACCATTTCAGGGCCCGCTCATAGTCACAGAGGAGCTTCACTCCATCAGTTTTGAGACCAAACTTTGCCAGCCAGGCCTTGATGTTGAGCTGGAGGTAGGGCTACAATGTGTCTGTGTGGCATGCAGATGATTCTGCCTACCATCTCGATCACCCCCCCACCTCCTCTGGGTGTCTGCTCCAGATAACCGCCCTCCCTGTGGTTGTGATCTCCAATGGCATCCAGCTGCCTGGAAGTTGGGCTTCTATCCTGTGGTACAACATTCTCTGTCCTGATGCCAAGGTTGGTCGGTTCCCTGGTTGCACACAGATGTGCTTTTTCTCACATGCAGTGTTTGACCCCCCCCCCCCCCCTGTCTGTTTCCCTGCTGCAGAACCTGTCATTTTTCCTCAACCCCCCTCCAGTGTGCTGGAGCCAGCTGTCTGAGGCCCTTAGCTGGCAGTTCTCTTCAGTCACTAAACGGGGACTGAACGCGGAGCAACTGGGCATGCTAGGAGACAAGCTACTGGGTGAGTTCTACACAACACTTAAATATGATGTAATGTGAAGCCCCCATGTTTAACTTAGGAGTGATTTCTCATGTTACCGGCTTCAGTCCAGTTGCCTTCCCAGCCCCCATGAAGCTGATGAATGCTGTGAATAAACAAGTCAGTTGCCCAGGTTGCAGCTGGTTACTCTCTAGGTTCATTTAGGTTCTGAGTGGCTTGGTTCTGAGCCCACAGGTAGAGAGGCAGCTGGGAACCCAGATGGGCTCATCGCCTGGAGCAAGTTCTGTAAGGTAATCCTACTTTAAATAGCCTCACTTTGGAAAATTTTTATTTTGTAAATCCTGCTGGAAAGTTTTTTTTTTTTGTTAGAAATGGCTGGGTTTAGTGTGTTTTAAAGAAGAGTTGTTTTAAACCTGGAATACAACCATGCTTCAGGTGAACACGGTCACTTCTGTGTTTACCCAAGCAGAACACAAATGAGAAGAACTTTCCGTTCTGGCTGTGGTTGGAGGGCATCCTGGATCTCATTAAGAAGCACCTACTGCATCTATGGAATGATGGGTAAGCAGCCTGACGTGGAGGCTTTATGTAGCATGGAGCCACAGATCGTGTTTGTATGTGAGATATCTATGTGCTGACAGCTGTTTCCTGTCACATGAACACAAACAGGAAGTGAGGGTTTCTAATGGGAACAGCACCACACACCACTCTCCCTTTGTCAGGCATCCTCCACACTCTCCCTCCACAGGTACATCATGGGCTTTGTCAGTAAGGAGCGTGAGCGCGCTCTGTTGAAGGACAAGAAGCCTGGTACCTTCCTGCTGCGGTTCAGCGAGAGCAGTCGGGAGGGGGCCATCACCTTTACCTGGGTGGAGCGCTCTGTAAATGGTGAGCTGCCATAATACATGAGGTCACCAGCTGGATAATGTATGTATTAATGGGTGATGGGGTGTCGTTCTGCATGCATGAATTTGAAACCTGTGTGTGTACAGATGAACCCGTGGTCCATGCAGTGGAGCCCTATACCAAGAAGGAGCTGACGGTTGTCTCTCTGCCGGACATCATCCGTAACTACAAGGTCATGGCTGCGGAAAATATCCCAGAGAATCCACTGGTTTACTTGTACCCAGATATTCCCAAGGATGAGGCCTTAGGGAGCTACTACAGCAAACCCCCCGACTGTGAGTCCAAACAGCTGGTGATGGGCAGCGTTAGTCTCTCTCTGGAATTTTTAAAAGTGGCTGTTTGATGATTCCTTCTTGTTTTGATCAGCCTCAGAATCCATGGATGATGACAGTCTGAGCCACGTCTACTGGAAGACGGCGCTGATCTCTGTGTCGGAGATGTAAGCGGGCCGGCCCGTTTCTGGGATCTCCAGAACAGGGTGGCAGTGGTGTGTAATGCAGATGGTGATTCTGATGCCAGGCCCAAGACACATAATGGTGATAGGTCCATTTCAGTTCAGTTTTGTCCCCAGACTTTTTCATACTGCTCTGCTGTCTTTCATTGCAGTCACCCGTCGAAGCTTCAGGACAACATACTGCCGCTGTCAAAAGAAGAGTTTGGCACCCTCTCTCAGCTGATCCACTCTGTGGACATGGACATGGACAGCACAGTAGGTGGAGCAGCTTTCTGGGCTGTGACCCTCTAATCAGTCACTGTTATGGTGTTCCCATCGTGTCATTATCTCCCAGCCGTTTGTGTGTGTGAACCTGCAGTTTGTTTGACTACAGAAACAGCCATTTGCTTTTGCCTTTAGTCTAAGGGCATATGCCATCTTGCTGTTGAACCATGATATGGCATTAGCCGATCAGGTTCTTAATGCTGAATCATGCTGTTCTGTTCCTCCTGTCACTTCCTACAAGAGACTTCCTGGCATGCAGCTTGGAGTTGGTAAAGCATTTTGTCATGTTCTCAACAGCTTTTCATTGTTCCACACTGTAAACACAGCAGTCATTTTTAGTCTGCTGATGATGAGCTGTCTCTACTAGGTAACATAAGTTATCCATTATTCCCCCAGATGTCCACTGCTTTACAGAACTAACCTCCACTTCTGCTGCAACCTGCATTTGTCCAGCCGCCAGCTGCTTCTCCGGGACAGTGTCATCTACCAGGCACCTGGGCCTGTAATCATTTTAAATCTACTGTACCGTTATGGTTGGACGTTCCTCTATTTTAATTTGATACAATAAATTGATTGTAGTATAATCAGTGTGTCTGCTTGCCTTTTTGAAATGGGTGCTTGAACTTAACTGATAGAAGCAGTTACCAAGGAGTTATATTCAAAGCTTTATTTTCATACACAAACACTCAAAATTTGAACATTGGGATCATCTTAACCGCAGTGGTATACAAGCCTAATTGGGGACTACTGTCAACCCCATCACATTCACCACTTTTCCGACCTTGGTCATGTGGGCCTAAAACTGAATCAGTGTTTGACCAGAAGTTCCACTGGTTTTCTTTTGCCGTCCTTCTGGTGGGAAGGTCTTAGGTCGCCCACACAAGGAAATGTTAGACAGTTGACCTTATTTCCACTGAACAGCCTCTGCTCTCATCTTGTTTTTGTGGTTGTTTTAGGCCCAGCTGCCACCATTTTGATCTTTTCTTTTTTGGAAAAAAAAAGTTTCTCTCCCTCACACACACATACACACAATTTGGTCTTCCTATCTAAATGGGGACCGTTAATTTCTATGGGGAAAAACCCTAATCCCAATCACGACACCCTTAACCACTACCCATCCGTAACCAACCCAAATACAAGACTTTTTTTACTTTTTTTTTATTACATTCACAGATTTTTATAAAACAGGTTATCCAAATGGGGACCTCAAAAGATGTCCCTAAAAGTAGGGAAATTTCAGGTTTAACTACACTTTGGGGACAATTTGGTCCTCAAATGTGATCTATGCAAACACACACACACACACACACACACACACAGTTGGATGTGGTTGGGGGGTCTCTAGGGCACAGGCAGAAGGAAATGAATACTTTCAAAACCTGAATTTAAGCTTCAGCTCTGGCACTGTGAGGAAGCACACACCCCTAGAGATGCGGTCACCAGATGCAGCATTGACAGATGGTCTAGCTCACCGTCGTAAGCAGAGAAACATATAACCTGGAACACTAGCCACTTAGCTTTGGGTTAACCTAACTAGAAAGGTCCAGGGCTCAGTGAGTCAGGATGCTGTGCCTGTGATCAGAAGGTTACCAGTGTAAATCCCAGGATATGCAGTGTAACCTCACCCTTGGGCACTTAAACCCCAAATTGGTCCAGGGACTGTCTTACACTACTTTCAATTATGTGTTGCTTCAGATAAAAATCTGCTAAATAAATAAAACTTTAGTGGTGAAATGCACCCTGCCCTAGAGCACAAAAATTGTTTTACAGTGAGCTGTGACCAGACCACATCCTGCCCTGAAGATAAACACTCGCTGTACAACAGCCTCATTAAATACTTTGCCAGAATGTAGAAAAATACTGTCATTTAAGTAACTAAATACTACACCTAAAGGGGGCCTGATACATACAAGGTGCGGTTCAGGCCGACTATACACACACGTTAGGTCTTTGTCCTCCATCTGTCAGCCAGAGGCAACCCCAGGTTCTTCACATGTCCAGCTCCTGAGTTTCGGCGATGGTGTCTGAACTTTGACATTCACAAGCTGCTTTTTAAAGGACTAGAGTCCTGTGAGGAGCTGCACTTCCCTTAATCATGCTGATTGCCAGATAAGTGATGCTTTGTTAAACTAAACATAAATTACTATTCAATTTACATGCATACGGTGTTTCTACACAGAGATACACACAAAGCCCCTCAGTAAGGCTACAGCTGGAACTCTGCAGTATAGCCTGACTATAATGAGTTCACTTCTTAAAGTGTGAAACACAGTAATTAACAAGAAAGGAAAAACTTTACATCCCTCTTTCACAGAAACACTGTGTAGTGTCAGCTGCATCTGGGGCCCTCTGCTGGTGGCACTGTCTGGTGCCACACCACACCTCCTACAGCATGCCATCCAGGTTCTTCTGTGCCAACTCCTTGTCTGTGGGGCCCTCCTGTGGGCTGTATGAGTTGTGGTACTCTTGGAGGATGGTCACCACGTCATGATGCCCGAAGTGTATGGCCTCATCCATGGGGGTGTTTCCCCAACTGAAGAGGGACAGGGAGAGGGGCTTTAACACCATGCAGGTATCCTGATGGCACCTTCAGATGGCTGCCAGGTTGCACCTCGCATTTGGTCAACTCCTCAGTTTTTCCCCCCCAATCATTTTTCAGAACTTGGGAGTCACAAAACCATTAAGAATGTAGACTTATAACGCGCAGACAACCACAATCAGGGGCAGATTAACCTCTCTGGGGACCCCCCAACAATGTAATGTCAATAGTCCACTAATCAGCGCGGGGGGTGTTGGGTGTAAGCAACAAGCAAGGGGCTGGGGGTGGGATCAATTTTCTCGTCAGCTCTAGACTAGACATTAATCCTCTGGCCAAAAAGGACAGGCATTCAAACCCGATAGGAACATGATTAGCATGATCTTACCGGTCCCTGGGTACAGGGTTCACCTTGCAGGCCTCAAGCAGGAAGCGTACCACCTCTGTGTGTCCTGCGAAAACAGGGGCATGGGGATGAGTCTGTGGTCGCTAACACCATTGCTTCGTGAGGGGAGCAGGTGATTGCTAAAAGCAGCACAGGCCCCACCCACCTTCAGCCGCCGCAACATGTAGAGCTGTCCTGGAGTCATAGTCTCTCTGCTCCATATCCATGGAGGACAGTGCAAATCTGTGGAGAGGTGGGAGGGGGTCACCTGAGAGAGCCAGGCATCCCGGGACAAGCCGGAGAGCCCAAGGTGGCGGGCGTACCTCCGGAGTGCAGAGACGTCCCCTGTGTAGGCGGCAAACAGCAGGTTGATGACGGACTTCACCTGCAGTGAGACACACCAGCTGTCTGAGGTCGGCCAACACAGGCTGTGAGGGAACCGCATACGTTCCAGCAAAAAGCTCATTTTAGCCACTGAGGTGAGAAAAGGAAAACGCTATGGGCCAGAGAGCAGCTGCGAGTTTCATCATACACATCAAAGGAATGAGAGCCCTCCTCTGCAGAGGGATCTTGTGTTCAAAGTAACAGCAAGTTCAGAAGCAGAAGAAATTATATCTGCAGGCTACCATGGACACATCAATGTCCATGTGAGGCTTTTAGGAAGGATTCATCTCAGGGCCGGGAGGTGGGTGCATGATGTCTAGCCACGAGATTATGAAATCTCAATTCCATATTCAGCAATTGCAGCTTTGTTAAAGGAGTATAATTTAGATAAAGGCCACACACACACACACACACACACACACACACACACAAAGTGAATAAACTAACTATAAGGTCAGGAATATAATGTAAATATATGAAGCGTGGTTGCTTTGCATATAGACAAGCCTGGCACCATTGGTATGTCTCACCACACAAGACTTGGGTAACAGTCTGAATCACAGAGTATAACAGGGAGAGTGTACAGAAAGGTGGTTCTACAGCACAGATGGAAAAGAAAAAGACAAGTACAGTCATGACCACAGGCTCTGTAACCCAGGGGCAAAGAGCCAGCTTTAAACTGGACATCATAAATTAAAATAGATCAACCAGGAAATTAAAACACAATGACACCTTAATCAGCATAACAGATGAGTGGGATTTCAAGTAAATTTATTAATGGAAAAATATGCATGCTGGAAGAACAAAATAAAAACAAGACCAACAGTATGGTTGTACACTAAGGTTACATACATTGTAGCCATTACAAAAATAAATAAATTTAAATATTAACAGGCTTCCTCATTGGAGTTTAAACAGCTGAAAACCCCCCAGCAAGATTAATATTTGCCCTTTATCATTAAGTACATGTAAAAATCCCCTGCAATGCAGGTTTCTTGTGCAACCATTTCAAGTAACCAAAAAACAAATAAAAAAAAAAAAAAATCCCAAAACACAAACTGCTTTTAATGTTCAGTTTTGCTGATATGCCGCTCCCGTGAGGATACGGTTAAAGCTTAACATTGAGCATATTAAGTGTATTAAGTCCAGTTTAACTGCAGAACATGAACAACATACAAAATGAAAATATTAATGTAACAGCCTTGGGAAAGTGCACACAAATGCCTATGAACATAGAACACATTTCTTTTGATAGTGACTCAAATAAATAATAGTGATAGTGAGATAGTGAGATATACTATTAAGGCTCATTGAACGATGTTTCCAATAATCTGACACACTACCGCACAGCTTACTGGAGAGAGCAATAGCTGACACACTAAAGACCAGTTTAAACTGGCTTTTACTGAAGGGACTCAGAGTTTTATGAGCCCCTGTGATGCACAGCCTGCTGAGGGATGTTAGCTTTCCTGAGCCAAACAAGCATCATTGGGTCTGAAGTACCATGGTCATATGATGGCCTCTGATTGGACAAAATGTGGCCACCAATGACCTTATAGAAAAGCACCACCGAAGAGGTGCATGTGAGATTTAAAGAGGGGGCCCTTGGCTACATACAGCTCATTTAACACACTCATTTATAACATCTTTGGTCAAACTCACCTGCCATGCTTGTACTGTTATAGAATGACAAAGAGAATAACTAAAACACAATAACTAAAAATAAATAACTAAAAATGTATTACATCACATACAGTTTGAAAAGTCAGTAAGGCTGTGTCAGTAATTGCAAACGCCCGGGGTTGACCGGGACCAGGGAGCCAAGTTCAAACAGAAGGATGCAAGAAACACAGAGCGGCCAGAACCTCACAGGCCCATGTGAGGAATAGAACCAAACCTGCCCTGCCACACACCCCTAGCATATTGCTCCCCTGACCTTCAGAAACGTACCCAAAAAAAACCACACTGCATAACTTCGCCTAAGTGGTCAGTTACGACTACTGCGTGCAGAGTGCGCATTTCACCCTGAGCTCAGAGAATATACTGGTGCTCACAACAATCACAGGAAAAGGATACAGTGACCCCAGAACAGTATAACACTAGTAACATTTACACCTCTTGAAATTATTTACATATACATTCTTACAGGGACGGGCAGGACGATCCCCTTCTTCACTGAGGTGGTGGTGCCCTCTAGTGGCTGTCCTGAACACCCTCCATCCTATAGACTACATTGGTGGAGCTGTCCTCATTGCACTCTGTGGCGGACACCATTGTCCACAGAGTGTCCCTGAGAGCCAGCTCTTGCTGAAGACTCTCGTAATCCATCGATCCAAAGGTGTGCTGCTGTTTCAAGCAACGCAGACACAACATTAGTCTGTTAGTATTGGTATAAAGCTTTGCTTTCAGTCATAAAGATGGCTCTGTTTGGGACAGGCTGTGAGGTTTACTTAACCACCAGCTATAAGCGCGCGTGCATACATACACATACACATACACATACACATACACACACACACACACACACACACACACACACACACTTCTCATTATATTTTTGTGGGGACACCTTAAGGGGAAAACTCCAATCTCGACGATGACCTCAAACCCGACCCAGCCCTAGCCAAACAAAATATGAGACTTTTGGAATTTTGACTGTATTCACAGATCTTTGTGGGGACCTGAAAAATGGTCCCCACAAAGTCAAAAAAACATAATCACAGACACACACACACACACACACACACACACACACACACGTGCCTTTCAGGTAACTCAAATGACTCCATCTCCCATACTGCCCTCAGGTCACTTAGGCTGGTAGGGCTACAGCAGAGCCTACAGCGACAGTGCGGTGGCATATCTGATACTGAAACTGACAGCATGTCCTTGTAGAAGTCGTCCTCCTGGAGCAGATCTATTAGGACAAAGTAGCCATTTGCACACCTCCTGGTGGAGTGGGGACTGGGGAAAGGCAGCACGTACTCACCCGCTGGTCACCTCCTTCCCTTCGTGGATCCAGCTTCTTCGCAAAGTGCCTCAGGTTGTCATAGTTGTGGAAGTTAAAGAGGGATACCAGGTCCTGAGAGAAATGATGGGGTCATATTGGAAATACTACGCGACCATGGAATGCACAACAAAAAAAGGTAACGAGGAGGGGGAAGAAAAAAAGTGAAATAAGAGCTCGTCTGAAGAAGGAGGGTTGTAAACGGCGAGCGCTCCCCTCGGTCATTCTTGCCAACGTGCGCTCGCTTCGCCATAAGACAGACGAGCTCCAAGCTAATGTTAACCACATGCATGAATTCAGGACTGCCTCCATTCTTGCCTTTGTGGAAACGTGGCTAAATAAGAACATCAGTGATGACACGCTGCAAATAGACGGATTCGGCACTCCCCTCAGACTTGACCGAGATACTGAGCGCACTGGCAAACAACAAGGCGGCGGTGTGTGTCTCTATGTAAACAAACGCTGGTGCTCCACAGTCGTCGTTCGAGAGAAGCTGTGCAACAACGACAAAGAACTTCTTGCTATCTCACTCCACCCCTTTTTTCTTCCGAGAGAATTCCCTCAACTCTTTTTTATTCGGGTTTATATTCAACCTAAGGCAAATGCAACTACAGCCACAGAACACATCAAGAAAACAATCGACAGGCTGGAACTCATATCCCCTGACTCCCCCAAATTTATCCTTGGAGACTTTAATCACTGCTCACCTGGAAAGTCTCTAAAAGGTTTTCAGCAGTACATCACCTACTCCACCGGTCAGGGGAAGACTTTGGACAAATGCTACGGATCTGTACCTGATGCATATAAAGCCTTTGCTCTTCCCCCACTTGGCACTGCTGATCACCACACTAGCAGAGGGGTTGATGATGCAAAACTATTAATCATGGACACCATACACAGGCACCTTGAACATCCGAACACCTCAGCTAGACTTCTGTTTGCTGACTTTTCATCAGCATTCAATACTATGCAGCCACATATCCTTGCAGAGAAACTATCCTCCCGCTTCCACCTGGATGACCAGCTAGTTCTGTGGATCCTAGATTTTTTAACCAACAGAATACAGAGAGTGCTGCTTAACAACATCTTCTCCGACCTCTCCTTCTCCTCCACTGGATCTCCTCAAGGCTGTGTCCTCTCACCTCTACTCTTCATCCTCTACACAGATGACTGCAGGTCTTCCCACCCTGACTGTTATCTGATCAAGTGTGCGGATGACACTGTTCTTCTGTGTCTCCCCTCTGGTCCTTGTCACCACCATAACACAATGCTCCACAAGTTTGTGGAGTGGTGTGACCACGCCTCACTAGAGCTGAACGTGGAGAAGACAAAAGAGATGTTGGTGACCTTCTCCAACAAGCAGAGGGAACTGGCAGCTAGAGACACCAGCATAATCCATGGGAAGACTGTGGAGCTTGTGGAGGAGTACAGATACCTGGGCACTATCTTTGATAGTATGCTCAGGTTTGCCTCCAACACTGAGGAGATTTTAAGGAGATGCCAGCAATGGCAGTATCTCCTGAGGAAACTCAGCAGCTTTGGAGTCAGCAAGAACATATTGAGGACATTCTACTACTCCTTCATTGAGAGCGTCATAACATTCTCAATAACCTGCTGGTTCCACCACTATGCATGATAGAGACCGCCTGCAGAGGACAGTCAAGGTGTGCTCTAAAATAATTGGATCACCAATCAGAACTCTGTCCTCCTTCTGTGAGCTGCAAACACTGAGAACAGCACGCAGAATCCTACAGGACTCTTCACATGTTGCAGGATTGCAGGACTCAAAGGAGAAAAGCCACTTTTGTTCCAAGGGCTGTTCAACTTTTGAACTTGAAGCCACTATTACCCTCTGCCTCTATGCACTAAACCCCATAAAGGTATAGCACATTCTCATTCCGCACTACCTATTGACCTCCCCATTTTTGCACCTTATGTTAGTCTGTTAACTTAATTACTTGCAACTGCAATTTTGCACCTTATGTATATATTGAGAACCATTTTATTACTTATTTCTTTATTTTTATTATTATTATTATTTTATTCTGATTTTTTTGTTTTATTTATTTGCTCTATTTCTTTAATGTCTGGTTCTGTGTCTATGCAACACTGCTCTACGTGCCTCAAATTGCCCCTCGGAGACAAATAAAGTTTTTTGATTTGATTTGATTTGATTTGATATAACGGGGGGGGGGGCAGCTGCAAGGAAAGTCCCTTAATTGTTGCCTCCACCCATCCCAGTCAAACGTCACCTCTACACCCAGCAAAAGCATTTCTGTAGCATGTTTGAAGAATATCAGTTCAGAGACAGTATGCTGTGCCCTGTGCCCTCGATGGCTTCGTTGTATTACGAGGGTGGGACAGACGATGGGCTTTAAATACCACAGAAACAAAGAGAGAGTACTGAAGAGGCTACCAAATAATATGGCAATTATGGATAATTACACCACACTACCTAAACACCATTATCCCCCCCCCAAGAGCATGGCCTGTATGCTCCCTCCCACCTACCGTGCAGAATTGGATGCCCCGCACGCTATTGCCCAGCTTGTCCAGAGGGGGGGACCAACACATGATTCCCATGACATTGGGCACCACCAGGAGGATTCCCCCTGCCACACCAGATTTGGATGGCAGCCCCACCTGCAGCAGTCACACATGGTGAAGAGGCCTTGCTTATTTACCTAAAAACACAAAAACCAGCTGGGATGGTGAATGTGGCAGTACCAGACAATTCCACCAGGGGGGACTTACGTGGAAGGCAAACTGGCCAGAGAAGTCATACATGCCACAGGAGTGCATGAGGCTCAGTGTGTTGCGCACGGCCTCGGGGCTGAGCACACGCTCGCCCGTGATGGGACAGAAGCCACCATTGGCCAGTGTGGCAGCCATGACGCTGGCGCTTTCGCAGGTCACCTCGATGGAGCAGAGCTGTGTACAGCATAAAAAAAAAAAACAGAGCTTATTTACGGCTCTGGAATGGCACAGCCATGCATACAGAACGATAACCTTGCCATAGTGCAAAGGATTGGCACACTTCATACACACCAATACAATACTGCAGCGTGACAATACACATTGCACCCGGAACATTCTGGTGGCTGCAGGTTTGTATTAAATGTTAATCTTTTTTCAGTTCATATATAAATCTAACCTTCCCTCAGGCAGCACTGGCATTAGTAAATGAGGCCCGGTAGAGTGACCATAACCACGCTCTGCTCTGGAGTTGCTCACCTGGAAGTAGAAGTCCAGGATGGAGGTCATATCTGTGCCTTCTGGGAAACACTACAAAGAGAAAGAGGGGTAGACAGACAGACACATATTATGTAAGCTCCACATTCCAGAAACTTCCACCCAAAAACCTCAGGAGGTATGGGTGCCTGCAAGAGGGCCCAAATTTCCTACCAAAAGTACAACCTAAATTACCTACAGAAGTAGAAAGAGGAGCAAGTTCAACCACTGGGGACTGTTTTTAAAGGTAGAATGAATAAATCATGAGGTAGAGAATACAAATGAAAGCCTCAAAGCAGAGAGCCAGAGAGAGCTGCTCACTGTGACAAGAACCCAGCCCAATGACAGCTGGGCATCAGACTCATGACAAGCGGAAGTGAGGGACTGGGGTCCCAACCCCCGAGTTCTAAATCCCTTGGGTCCTTACCTTCTTCTCCTTCAGGTAGTAGCCGATGGCAAAGTTTCTGTCTCCAGATTCGCGCTCTGACTGGAATCTGGGTCAGACAGAGGCACACGCTGCAGGAGTCCCTCACACCAACACTGTATTCACATCATTCTGATTTACTTCATATTAATTACAGTCCCTGGGCCCAGGGATACAGACACCAGCACTCCGAGAAGGGCAATATTAATCTCAGCCACCAATACAACTAAAGAAAGTGTGTTACATGGTCAGTACTGTGGAATGACATCATATCTCCCATTAAGCTGATTGTTCAGCATTAGTGTGTTTCAAAACTACACAAACAGACCCTGTGTGCTGTGAGTGTATGTGGGACTAAGAAACACTGGCCCGTGGTGAGAAGCTTGCGGCTCGATGCTTACGTGGCATTGCTGAAGCCCACATACTCGTTTCCTGCCATTTTGTTCAAGAAGTTCATGACCTGCATGGCACCAGGACATTGGACTTAATACTGATCACAAGTTGAAATATCAAAATATCAAATATTTTACAAAATAAACGCCACGCTTACTTACATAGTCAAACTTCTCAGCATTACTTGCTCCTTGCTGGATGATAAGAGAAAACAATCAAATATCAATTAAAAACACACACACACACACACACACACACACTATAAAAGACAGCTCACAATGAAATGTAGCTCTGACAGACTAAAAAGACGGATACAGTGGTACCTCAGAACTCAAACTTATTCCGTTCAGAACTCTGGTTAGAATCCTAAAAAGTTTGAGTTCTGATCGAATTTTCCACATAAGAAATAATGGAAAACCAATAAATTGGTTCCCGGCCCCAAAAAATTACACCTAAATATGTTGTTTTTTTTAGGATTTAAACACAAAATGAACAGGATAAAACAAGAAGAGCATATACTAAACACATCTAAGTACATTTATCAAAACAGTAATTTGTAAAGCAAGAAAATAAAAATAAATGTATCCAAACAATGTGCAAAGCCTACCAAAATGATATAAAGTACAGTGTATTACCTGATATTTTCAATAAAAAAAGCACTATCACCAACAAACGATGCTATCACAGCAAATTGAAGGCTGAGACTGAAGTGTTACCCTTTGTTTCCGCTGAGAGACGTGCCGCGTGACTCATTTCCCTGTGCGTACAAGTTATCTCAGGTCGGTGTTCACGGTTCAACTTCTGAGATTCAGATCAAGTTCTAGGTAATTTTTTTTCAAACTGGTTGGTTCGACTTTTAAGAAATTTGAGTTCTAATGAGTTTGAGTACTGAGGTACCACTGTAATCCCAAACACAATGTTCTCACACAGCGTGGTCTGAACCGTGACCTATTCTATTCCTGTATGATGGCTGTCTACAGACAAATAGTAAAGGTAAATGGTACACAGGGCCTGGAAGAAAGCAGAATAAGGGCAGGGTTTGTTAATGGTAAACAAAAGCATTAAAAGAGTCAACATAGCTTTCGCTCAAAATCCCAAAGACCACTATGCACTATATGAGTCCTTAGGGGGCAACACACTGCTAAATGAGTTCAGGAGTAAACAGGAGCAGATTAAGGCCACCCAGGGTAATCTCCATGGCCAATACATCAACGCCGATTATTGCAGAGCGAGCCGACAGCCCGGGACTGAAGCAGACAGGAAGAGGATGGGACGCGGGGCTGACAAGGTCATAGCTATACATATGTCCCTCTGTTATTAAGACTGGAAAAAGGAGGGGAAAATGAAGATCACTTATTACACAACTGAGGAAAATGATCAATGATCAGTGTTAGTGAAATAAATATGAGATAGATTCCAGTTGGTTTTTCCATTTAATCTTATTGTATCAATGTTATTGTTTAGAAAGCAGCCATAAAGTGACTTTAAAGGGTCAAGTTGGCCCAACTACTGATATGTGCTAAAAGTGAGCCAGCCAGCCAAACAGAGTGAGCACTAAATTGCTGCAAATCACTGTGTTGATTACTAGACACATCCCTGTATATAGAAAATGCAAGGTTTATTGACAGTAACTGACCCGGCTGGCTTGACTTTCAACTAGAGATGCACCGATACCGATATTCGGATCGGTATCGGCGCCGATCCAGACCTATTTGACGGATCGGGAATCGGCCATGCGTGACCGATCCACGTCCTATACTTACTTATTTAGTTTTTGGCAATCAATCGCACGACAGCTCTTTCCCATTTTACATGTGTGTTTTTGCGGAATTCAAATCGAACGCTATCACTGCCCCTAAGTCTTTTTTGCTACTCAGTGGGTGTGAGTACAGTGACTTCCGCCTGCTGTGAGGTCATGCGCATACCCTTCGCAGTACGAGGAGCGTAAGATAAGACGTGACGATCTGGGAGTATTTTAGGCTTTTAACAGAAATCGGAAGCACAGCGTTTTGCAATCTATGTAAAATAAGGTTTTGAGGTGGGAATAGCGTTTAATGGAAAATCCCATTTAACAAAGCGCACGCAACTGCGAGACAAAACAAAGCAATGGATGATTTGGGAGTCGCTAACTTAATTGGACTGTTTTGCGAACTCGTTGCTTGAGATACAAGAGGGGCTGCCATCGCAACAAAAGTGTAACTGCGCTGATGCCAATGGGAGAAAAACTGTTAAAATTTTAAGCATTCGCCACTTGTGTATATTTGCTTTGAAGATATTCATATTGAACTGCAAATGCCTCAAAAACGCTTAAAACAAATGAGGTGGAACAGTACGTTATGTATGTTTGTAGTAGCCTAATTAAATATTTTTTGTCATACATTTTTTCCATCTGTATTTACTAGCTTAAAAAAAATAATATGTAAAGTATAACAAAGTAAAAAGAGCTCTTGTATCGGAATCTGTATCGGTATCGGCAGTTGTGTATCGGAATCGGATCAGAACTGAAAACGTGGATCGCCCATCTCTACTTTCAACTGAAGCATGGTGGTGCTGTGCTAGTAAATCCCAGCATACAGGAAGTGATCAGATGACCAGTATGTGCCCTGACCCAAAAACAGGAAGTCACACTTCGCGACCTGACAGGCTGCTGCTGACTGCAGCCAGAGACGCACTGGCCAAGGGAAGAGGTCTCACACTTAACCGCATGGAGATGAAATGGACCTCCTTTTTTCATTAGAGAAGGAAAAATGGGAATGCAGAGCGAGGTCAGCGGGGAACCTGGAGTTTAGGCTAGAGTGTATGTGACGTACACTCAGACATGGGACACACCTGTCCTGAGGGGGATAGGACTTTATTCCTGTCGCTCCTACAATACACAATCAGAGGTAAATTCAGAGCCACTCCCTCCATCCTAAAAATGTGACAAGTAAACAAACAGTGCCTTAGACCGGGTCCTGTAGAGTGGCGGCATATGCAGGATGTGCCTGTTAAACCTCTGCCTGCAGTAATGCTTTGCCAGCAATTATCTGAATTTGGCAGGTCCTCGTAGACTGAAAAGCCTTGTGCGAGAGCATGCACACACGCGCACACACACACGCATAGATTAGGTATTTATGCATATTTGTAGAGACAATCTATTCATTTCTAGGGCCAAAACCCTAATCCCAACTATGACAACCTACCCAGCCCTATCCTTAACCATAAATAACCAAAGAAAATAGAAGACTTTCTGCATTTTTAGTTTTTTGATTGCACTCACAGATTTTTATGAAATTGAATTTCCTCTTGTGAGGACTGGAAACATAGCAGTTTTTTTCACATTGTTGGGACAGAGAAACACACACACAGAGCCAGGGGCAGCCTCTGGCCTCTCACCTTGATTAAGGACGTACACACGATGGCGCCAGCGTTCACCATGGGGTTATGGGGCTTGTCTGTGGGCAGAGAGACAAGGAGTTTGGAACCCAATGCGCATGGTCAGGTGACCCGTTAAGTGGATACTGAAATGGTCAGTAGGTCCTTGTAAAGGGCTTCCTCCTGGAACTCCTGGTCTATCAGCAAAAAGTGGCCATTTGTACACCTCCCATGGGGGGTGGGGTGGGGGCTACATCTGCCAGAAACAGCTGACATACTGAGGCCACCTGAGCCACAAACAAGGTGGCCGATTGTAAGGTGTTTTTTTGCTGCTAACAGGAGATTTTATTGTGAAAGAGCTGCATAGCTTACACTCACAGATGAGGGTCTGATTAAAGGTGCTCTAGAGTTATTACTTATTGCTCATAATCATGGAAACAGAACCAAACCAGTCAACTTGTTCTGGGTTCGACCCTATAGAGCAGTTTCCCTCTGGGACACAGTGGGGCCCTGTGTGGAGTGTGGCCATAGCACACTCATCAACCCAGACTCCTTCATTAAACTTTCATCTCGCTGCTACAGCAACAGAGCACCACAGAACGGCCCGACCGCCTTGGCCCAAATTCACGCTACAGTTTTGTTTCACAGATGAATCTGGGCCAAAATTTACACCCATCACATGTGTGTATGGAAGGTCCCACCATGTCAGCTTGCGTGGCGAGTTGTTGTGGAGACTGCCCCCTCACCATCCTCATTGAGAAACAGCTTGTTGAAGCGCAGGCCACTAGGCTCCTTGGCGATGAAGCGGTGAACGTATTCCGTGCCATGGTCGTGCACAGCAATGGCATACTTCAGCGGCTTCACGCATGACTGCAGGCAAAAGGGCACTTTGGTGTCACCCACTGTGTACCTGGGGGGGACGCACCAATGAGTCATTCAATAACAGGAAGCATAATGAAAACACACAGGGTAAGAGACTGATAAACCACAGCAGCAATAATTAGTGATGCATCGATAAGCAAATTTCTTGCTGATACCAATAGCCGATTGTTTTGAAAACCTATACCGATACAGATTGTTTGGGGGTTCTTACATTAGTTTAAAGGGTCACCCCACCCACCCAAACAAACAAAACAAACAAATATAAAGAATTTCACAGTCATGGAATATAACACGTTTACAACCACACTGCAGTACGGTTGTACCCAAAACAAGGGTTCAGCAGATAGTATCATTAGTCTGAATAGAGAGAGGGGTTTGTTTCAGTTGTTCCCCAGGGTACAGCAGCATCACACCCCCTACCTCTGACCATCAACTGTGCAGAGCGACACAGCCCACAGATCGGGGCTGAACTTAGCAAGCTGGGGAATGTAGTCCGCCACCTGTAGGGCACAGAAGGCATCTCCTCAAGGGTTTGGATTGTTCAAATACTCAGACGATGTGTGTTTTGTGGCCGTGGGCAGCCAGCAGCAAGGGGGTGCTGTGACCCACCTGTCCTCCGGACAGATTCTTGGCACTCTCGTAGAGCTTATCGATGTGCGACGTGAAGGACAGAAAGTCAGGGATGACAAACTTCTTGCGGAAAGCCTGGGTGAGCAGGACAATGTTGCTCTGAACACACCTGCGGAGGGACCACAGGTTTCTGAGGGGTGTCCACCACAACAAAGGCCTGCCACACAACTCACTTTTGGGGGAGCCCTCACTCACTTTTTGAAGAGGTGCCGGTCGAGCATGACGCCATCGGACGTGGATTTCAGGGAGACCTTCAGCATCTCCATACACTCCTTCAGCCGTGGATCTCCGGTCCGTAAACCCGTAGCCTTCAGGGCCTTGAAGGTACAGTTAAAAATTAAGCTTACAGTAGAGGGAAGAATTACAATTTATATGTGCTCCTTGGGATCTGAACCCACAACCTTTGAATTGTTAGCACAATGCTCTACTTATTGAGCTATAGAAGCAGATAAGTAGTGTGTGAGGCTGATTCCTTCAACAAAGCAAACTCCCCCAGATTAAAGCAGCAGACAGTGCAGGGTCCTGAAACCCACATAAAAATAAAAGAGGAGCATCAGTTAAGTTACAATAACATTTTCATGATGAGCAATGGGAGCTGTGGAATATGTACTGCTGGGAGGGGGGATTGTAAATAGTCTAGTAACTTCTGATTGACTCCCTAACCAGCTACTCACTGTGATGAATTTGTGGGCTGGGATCTTCTCCTGGCCCTCAGCAATGGTGTAGAAGAGCAGATCCTCCAGAGAGGGCAGGATGCCTGCTTTCCTTCTCCTGAGAGAACAACATCCTATGTTAAGGTGGAGGAATCAACACTCTGAAGATGTAAAATCCACAGAGACTGCAGGAGGAACAGATAGACTGTAGGGGGAGCAGTGGGAAGATGGATTCACACTGCCAGCTTCAAGGAGTGCATTTCAACATGGCTTCCGTTCAAATGACATTATTCTGGGACAGTTATGCAAGGTTCTGCCCTGTTCTTGGGCAGGTGGATTCTGGTCCTGGATTGCAGTCTGATATCATGTTCTGCCCCAACCTCTCAAGTTGCTATCCTATAAAATGAATGACTGCTGTATTTTGTGGTGAAACCATATGGAACATCAATCCTGTCAAGAAATGTACAGTGGTACCTCAGAACTCAAACTTATTCCGTTCAGAACTCTGGTTAGAATCCTAAAAAGTTTGAGTTCTGATCGAATTTTCCACATAAGAAATAATGGAAAACCAATAAATTGGTTCCCGGCCCCAAAAAATTACACCTAAATATGTTGTTTTTTTTAGGATTTAAACACAAAATGAACAGGATAAAACAAGAAGAGCATATACTAAACACATCTAAGTACATTTATCAAAACAGTAATTTGTAAAGCAAGAAAATAAAAATAAATGTATCCAAACAATGTGCAAAGCCTACCAAAATGATATAAAGTACAGTGTATTACCTGATATTTTCAATAAAAAAAGCACTATCACCAACAAACGATGCTATCACAGCAAATTGAAGGCTGAGACTGAAGTGTTACCCTTTGTTTCCGCTGAGAGACGTGCCGCGTGACTCATTTCCCTGTGCGTACAAGTTATCTCAGGTCGGTGTTCACGGTTCAACTTCTGAGATTCAGATCAAGTTCTAGGTAATTTTTTTTCAAACTGGTTGGTTCGACTTTTAAGAAATTTGAGTTCTAATGAGTTTGAGTACTGAGGTACCACTGTAATCCCAAACACAATGTTCTCACACAGCGTGGTCTGAACCGTGACCTATTCTATTCCTGTATGATGGCTGTCTACAGACAAATAGTAAAGGTAAATGGTACACAGGGCCTGGAAGAAAGCAGAATAAGGGCAGGGTTTGTTAATGGTAAACAAAAGCATTAAAAGAGTCAACATAGCTTTCGCTCAAAATCCCAAAGACCACTATGCACTATATGAGTCCTTAGGGGGCAACACACTGCTAAATGAGTTCAGGAGTAAACAGGAGCAGATTAAGGCCACCCAGGGTAATCTCCATGGCCAATACATCAACGCCGATTATTGCAGAGCGAGCCGACAGCCCGGGACTGAAGCAGACAGGAAGAGGATGGGACGCGGGGCTGACAAGGTCATAGCTATACATATGTCCCTCTGTTATTAAGACTGGAAAAAGGAGGGGAAAATGAAGATCACTTATTACACAACTGAGGAAAATGATCAATGATCAGTGTTAGTGAAATAAATATGAGATAGATTCCAGTTGGTTTTTCCATTTAATCTTATTGTATCAATGTTATTGTTTAGAAAGCAGCCATAAAGTGACTTTAAAGGGTCAAGTTGGCCCAACTACTGATATGTGCTAAAAGTGAGCCAGCCAGCCAAACAGAGTGAGCACTAAATTGCTGCAAATCACTGTGTTGATTACTAGACACATCCCTGTATATAGAAAATGCAAGGTTTATTGACAGTAACTGACCCGGCTGGCTTGACTTTCAACTAGAGATGCACCGATACCGATATTCGGATCGGTATCGGNAAATACAGAGGACTAATGACAACAACCAGAAACAGCTGATCACATGGGGATCCCACACGAGGTTAACAAGGGGGCGTGGCACACGGAAGGAGCGGACAATCGGGGCAGGACAGGGGTAATGTTGGGATAAGATCTTTATCGTTTTGGAAGCCATTAAGAAAAAAATGCTCTTCTTGTTTATCCAGTTATTCTTTTCATTTTGTGTTTAAATGCTTAAAAAGAAATAAACATATTTAGGTGTAATTTGGGGGGGGGGGTGGGAACCAATTAATTGGTTTTCCATTATTTCTTATGGGAAAAATTCGATGAGAACTCGAACTTTTTAGGATTTGTTCTGGAGTCCGGAACGAATTAACTTCGAGAACCGAGGTACCACTGTATTTCATGATCAGGTAACCAAGTGTTAACAGGCATGCTGAAGGTAGCTGGTTGAAATGCAATCATTAGAATTAGCTGGGGGGTGTCAACAGTATTCATAGCTGTAGAACTTCTGAAAATCCCCTAGATAGATGCCATATGTGTTTTGATTTGAGTGTTGAAGCTCAGTTCATCAGAGTTAGACAAGACAGGGGACAGCACACACAACACAGAAATCCAGATAATGACCAAAAGACCTTGCCCATCATGACACAACGGGCAGACAGACCACTGCATGAAGCAAAGGAAAAGCATCTCACCACACACAGTGAAATCCCACACTCAATTGCAGTGAGGTGCCAGTATCAGATGTTCGCATTTAAAAACAAATATTAAAAGCAGGGTTGGATAAAGCAGATAGGTTTGACTGGTCCCACACAGAAAGCCAGGATCACAAATGTGGGTTATTCTGAAGGAATTACGGGAGAATTAAGATAGCAGGACAGTGATATTTGAAGGTTAGGATAGATCACAGTTGGGTACAAAGGCAATAGAGAGAGACATTTTAGAATTTACTTACATTTTTTAGAAAACCAAGCAGACAAACAAAAAGAAAGGCAAAAATTAGGTTTTAAATACAAATGTTTAAACAAAACATGATGTGGATAGACTCAAGCAGATGAAATCCAACATAATATTCCTCCAGGAAACACATCTATTAAAAGAGGACACTGGTAGAGTTACAAGAAGGTGGCCAGAACAGGTATAATCAGCATCCTTCACCACTCGTGCTAAAGGTGTCAAATCAATTCCATGTCAACTTAAAAAACAGTATGCTGATAATTATGGGAGATATTTAATTCTAAATGGTACAATACTATCCACCCAGCTCATTTTGATTTGCGTATACGCCCCTAACAAGGACAATCCAATTTTTTTTTTTAAATCTCTTCCTCTGCTTTTCCTCCTTTCCTGGTGAATTCATTATGGGTGGTGATTTTAACTATGTATTGGACCAGACAAAAGATCTATGCATGGGCATAGATCCAGGAAATGTCTATGTCCAGGAAAATTATAAAAAATGTCATGATTGACCTAAACTTAAAAGAGATTTGGAGACATCTTAATCCAAGTAAATTAGAGTACTTTTGCCAGTCGAGTACATATAAAATATACTCTAGAACAGGCTACTTTTTGATTTCCAAAACATTACCGTCTAAAATTGGAAAATGCTGGTACAGTAGTAGTCTGATCATACACCAGACTCCCTTACTTTGCAGACAAATTATTTAAACCCCTCTGCATTTAGATTTCACTTTCAAGCTACATGGCTGAAATCCCCGGAGTTTGTAGAATTCATGGGCAGGAAGATTGAAGAATTTTTTTACTTTTAATACCAATCAAACAGATGCACTAGTTAAATGGGAAGCATTGTAGCAATTCTGTGAAACAAAAACAACTCCCCACACTAAAACCTCAATTTAATGATTTAACCACAAACAAAATAGCCAACAGTTTAATGTGGTTAAAACAGTCCTACTATGACCAGGGAGAAAAGCCTGGGAAGCTATTAACATGGAGAATAAAACAAATACATACAGATAGAGCTATTAATTCAATTGTAAACAAGAATGGTTTAAGCCTGCTAGACCCACTTGAAATACACTACTCACAATAAGTTAGGGATATTGTGAGAGACTTAGTGGATGTCATACATATGGTGTTTGTTTCACTTCCGACATTTTTGGGATAGGGAGGCAATTGTATTGGGGTGATAGACACACGTCATTTTGTGTTTTCCATGTAATGGTCTCATTGTGTATAGATGTGCCTTAAATTGGGGCCAATACCAAATCACAACCCTTTTCAATGTGGCATCAATTTCAACATTCTGTGGGTATAAAAAGCTGGTATTGTCAGTAAGTCATTCCAAGTTCACCATTCAAACAACCATGAACACACAATGTCACTTAACGGACGAGCAGCGCCACCTGGGGTCAGTGGCAGGCAGTCAGATGTTGCTCGTGAACTTGGTGTGTCTCAAAGTGTCATCAGCAGACTTGCATCAAGACACAGAACTGCTGGCAGAGTTCATGACAGACCCAGGAGTGGAGCCCAACGAGTGACAGACCGCAACTATGACCAGTACCTAAGGACCTATGCACTCAGACATCGTCATGCAACTGCCACACAGCTGCAGGCCCGTTTACGAGATGCGAGGGGTACTAGGGTTTCCAGACAAACCATTC